GAACACTTTGAGCCCCATCAATAATCTCTGGAGTGATGAGGAACCTCATGGAAAACCTTGGCAACTGATTTATTTATTCTGTGAAACTGGAATCTGGTGATAGTAAAAAAATGAAGACTTGTGTAGCAGCTGGGGAGGCAGCTTGGTTATATTTTCTAATCTAGCTGCTTCCACTGGCTTGCAAGAAGCTGTGAGCTGATGGAAACACACAGAAAAACAGGCTGGAACCATAACTGGCAACAAAAAAAGTGCAGCAGTCATCCATTGTGAGGCTGTATTGGTCTTCTTTAGCATCAGGTCTGAATATTGTCTCAATTTCTCTGCATTTTCAGAGGGAATAGAGCTGATCCAGAGAGTATAGTAGCCATTGCTGACAAGAGGTCTGCAACCCCTCACTACAATCCTACTGGATTTTTTTTTTATTTTCAGCACAAAGGGTTGCTTCCAAACTTAATAAGGACATTTAAAGGCTTTTTGTTACAGTGGCCTTTGACTTGTACTGCTTGGGGCAAACTTTCTGCACCCTGCTGCATGTACAGAATTCTTTTATTTTTCCACTAATTTAATGGAAAACATTCACTATATCTAAATTTACTTTCTGGAGAGTTTTCACTCTAATAACTTTTTTCTGGTTAAAAGTAATTGTTGAAGAGCAGAATATGAACTGTTTGTATGAATGTCTGCCTTTAGAAACTTGGAAGTTATATATCAAGAGGAGAAAAAACAAGTTAAGAATGAGAAAGTCTAATTTCATTCTAAAATTTGGACTGATATGTGAGGGCAATATAAGGAGCAAACAAACCAAACCCACCAAAAGAAACCTGCCACAGTAAACTTAGAAAAGTTTGCTTGAAGCAAAATAACATTTTCACTCTTTTCTCTTGGAGTACTTGGCTGAAAGAGGACTGCAAGTAGAGAGAATGTAAAGGACTTGAAACATTTTATGGTTGAAGCTTCAGAAACCACATTTACAGAAATTCTGCTTGACGCAGGAAAAAGATTTGATTCTTGTCACTCCTATAAATTACTTCTTCAGAAACTGCAATACTGATAGTTTTCTGAAACCAAGGGCTTTGAAATTGCCACAGAGAAATTGCTGTGGAAAGGATTCATGCTTTTCTTTATTATCTCTTTGTGCATATACATGTAGATGTGTATCTGAGCATTTCTAGGGAAGCTGTTCCACTCCCTATACTGGAGGTGATTGGTGGTTGAGGATGAGCCATCATTAGCATTCTTGTTAAAGGATAACCTGATTTTCAGGTTATCCTTTATTGTCCTAAGAACTCATCTCTAAGAGTTGGCTTTAAAAAATTTTCTATGGGTTTAACAGTCTGTTCTGGTAGGTAGACTATAATGGAATTGATAAATGTTAAGTTTCCATGTTGATTGAAAGACGGGCGGAATAAATTTAAGTATTTATTTGGTGTTTATTGAAATAGAAACTTGGACATGAAACTAGAATGCTTTTCATTTCTTTTCAAAATAGGTATAAAAATGAATGCTTGGTCCTCCAAGTAAATGACAACAGATCATTGCTCATTGATCATCATAATCTGAGCTCACACAGAATATTATGGTAAATGATGACCTGGGTTTGTGAAAATCTGACTAGGAGGAGTTTCATTTTTTTCCTGCCAAAGTCAGCAGAAAGCCTTGTTAAATAACTGTGATTACATATATCTCTTGGTAGTCATGAATTTATATTCACTAAATTTTTTTATCTCTGCTAAATAGGTTTGTTTCAAATTATTTACAGTTTTAAAAGGCATTTTTAGCACTAACATTTACCATGTCAAGCTAACTGTAAAGAGGATTTATGGGGAAAGAGTTTATTTACTGCCTTTTCTGTCTGTACAGCTGCCAGAGACATGGCAGTAAACTTTGAGGATTTTTCTGAGCTCATGTTGCAGTAAAGCTATCATTTTATTACAAGACCAGGGGTAATTTAGAGTCTGCTATAAAATCAAGAAACTGTACAAATTAAAGAATAAATTCACAGTTGAGCAAGAGGTGCTATGATAGAGTTTCCAGAGAAACTGTTTTACATGCAAGTCCAGTCTCTTATTTGAGATTTAGAGTGACTTTCATACTCAGCCTTTTCGCCAGAGTTCACAGACACTCATTACTCTCTCTCTTATTCCTGATCCCTGGAGCCAAGTGTTTATACAGCCAGTGACTGAAGTTATCTTAAGGAGGCTTATCATCAGTACTAACCTTGGTGTTCCAAGGTAAGGATTTTGTGTGGCAAGCAGCAGAGAGAGGACCTACATCTGGTGTCTGTAGTTTCACTGTAGTGAAGTGCAGAGTTGACTGGCTGTAAATAAAAGCTTCTTTCTGGTGAGCACAGAAAAAAACCCATCAGGGCTGTGGATTTATCCAGTGCAATGAATTTATGTTATGACTTCTTCAAGTAGTTGGACACCTTCCATTTGATAGAATTCTGAATTCTGGACACCATGATAGAATTGCAATCAACGTCCTTGTGTCTCAAAGTAAATATCCTCTACAAAGGATTAGGAACTTTAGTTCTTCCATGGTATGAAAAGGGGCAGTAATTGATCATAAAAGCCAACTGCTTAAGAAGCCTTTGATTTTCTGATTTTAGATTGATTGTTTTGTCTGTTGCTTTGACAGAGAGAGAAAATTCAGAAAAGCAAACAGATCTCAGAAGCTGAAGAAAATGTTTGCTCAAACTTTTGTTGTTTTCTAACTCCTAGTCAGTAATTTTATGATGTATCTAATGAGATTAAAATATGAGAAAATATTATTAAAATTATTCACAGTACTCTTACACAGCTCACATGAGTCCTACATAGGCTTTTCATCCTAAAAGAAGTTGGGTGATCAAGATGGATTAGCTGAGAGATTTGTCTGCTGAAGTATAGTGGCAGTATATGTCCATGAACAACAGGGACAGAATATTTAACTGTTAAAAGATCCTGTATATTTAAATCCTTGGGCTTTGCATTTTATTTGTTCAATGCTTTCTTGATGGAACTATTTTAGCTGTGGCCTTTATGATGCCCTGTTGTGGCTGAACTACATCAGAATGAGAGACACAGTTCTGACAGCTGGACAGGAGGTTTGCTTTCTGCTCATACTGTTAGGCTGTAAATCACATGCCATGCTCCTCCTAACACAAGGCTTAGTTGAGTGAAATTCTGTGGCTAGAGAGAAATCAAGTCAGGCTGGATCTCTGATAGCCTTGTCACCTAAGCTGCTGCTTGTATGGTTTAGCTGGTGAGTGCAGTATCTTTGTTTGTGCACGTGAATAGCTGGGCCATGGAAGTTACGTGCCTTATTCATGAACAGGAGAATAAAGAATTGTTACCAACTGACAGAATGGATGATGTTGGACCTGGTCCAACCCACCTGTTCAAAACAGAGTCAACTACAGCAGATTGCCCAGGACCACTGGAAGAGTCTGGCTCCATCTTTACTCCTCCTGGCAGATACTTAAGAAAATTTATAGGATCCACCCTAAGCCTTCTCCAGGTTAAACAACTCCAGCTCGCTCAGCTGCTCCCTGTATGACAGATGCTCCAGTCCCTAATAAACTTCATGGCTCATCAGTGGAATTTCTCCAGTCTTTATCTTTCTCATACTGGGAGCCTGGAGTACCACTCAGAACTCCAGATGTGGCCATGGAAATATCACTTCCTTAAACCCACTCTCAAGAGACTTCCTAAATAAGTCCTAATAGTAATCTTTGCAAAACTTCTCATCACCTTTGTTCTTATTTGTGGGCTGCATTTGGTGTGTTATTTATGCAGATGTAGTGAAAATTCAGTATTTCTGATTCTTCTCTTCTTGTGTGGTTTCCCAGACAAACATTGCCAACAGTTTCTTACCTATTTTGAACAGATGTACATTTTTTGTTGGCTTTGTGACTAAGCTTCTGATGCTTGCATGCTTTCTGCTCAGCTTGGTTAGCTAGCCTCTGTCACTGAGTGTCTGAAGTAAGCAAGGGTTAATGAAAAAAATTTTGCAGGATTCTGAATATTTACTTCATGCTTAGGAAAGCAATTTTTAGAACAATGGGTGGTTTGGTTGATTTATCTCCTGGGAAATATACTGTTGCTTTTCATGGACTAGCAGAAAACTCGAGTCATTCCTCTTTCTTAGTAAAAGGAAAATCAGGAAGAGGGTCTGAGGTTGCTGTCCATTTGGGAATGCTTCTAGAACTTGGTGTGCTTTATGATATTTAGAAGTCAGAAATTATGGATTCAGTTTTGAACCACCAAAATAAGTGTTCAAATGTTACAGAACTAACATTTATAAAAATAGCTGAAGGCTGTGAAAAACACTTACAAGTTTAAGGAGTATTTTAGGGCCCCAGGCTTAAAAGTTCACTTCTCAAACAATGTATTTCTTCATTTTCAAAAGTTGTAACTGTGCATATATAACAAATATTTTTGTTACCAGGAATCAGTAAAAATCCTTGTGAAATGGTTCTGTTTCTAGGTATGTTATTGGAATTGGATGATATGGTCTCAGAGAATTACTAAATAACTTGATTCCATTAGAAATATCATAAGGAAATCATAAAATTCATTTTGGGTAAGTGGGCACTTGGTCGTTGAGCCACGTTGTGAAAGTGTTCTTAACTGCAACAGAAAAAGCAAAAGCCTTTTCTTCTGTAGCCTTGCACAGAGAGTTGCTTTATGAAAAAACTTCCTTCTCATCCAGTTTTTATTTTATTCTTGTCTGAAGTTACTTAAATTTTTCCCCCACCCCTTGAAAATAAGTGTTAATTTCCAGTGGAGTTGGAGTTCAGAAGTAGTGGTGTATGCTGTCCTCTGCTGATGCGGTGCTACATGTTTCCTATTGATCTCTTACTTTTTTTATTTTTACTAGAAACTCTCTTCTTCTTTTGTCCCAGTATTTTTCTCAGTGGAAAAGAAAAGGAAGAGGTGGACCTGAGGTTCAGGAATTTGCCATGAGAAGTGCTGGATACCCTCTAAGATGCATAACCCCTGTGTTTGTCGTCACTACAGTGCTGCATATGATGCCGTCCTTGACAGAAACGTGGCCATTAAGAAGCTCAGCAGACCATTTCAGAACCAAACTCATGCCAAGAGAGCTTACAGGGAGCTGGTCCTCATGAAGTGTGTGAATCATAAAAATGTAAGTGTTCAGCAGGAGAAATGGTATGTGCATTGCTGTGTTAGAAGGGAAGTTGTTCTGTTGGGTTCCTCTTTTAAATGGAAGAAATTACAAGTAAATTTGGCTCAAGGGCTACACACTCTCTGGTACTACATGCCCACAGGAGAGACTGAGGGTTTTCCATGTGCTTGTTTAAAGGCTCTGCCAAACTGGCATTGTTCTAGACTTTCCTGCTTCTTGCACCATCTACTGTGTATCATTTAGTATCCATAATGAATGAAAATATTCCTATGCTGCACTAGGAGTGTTCTTCCAGGGCTGTATGCTAATTTTAACCATTATCTGTTAGAACTATCTGCCTGACACTGTATCAGCTGCTTTTTTGTAGTGAAATATGTAGGATTGCCACACTGCATTGTAAAGGGTTGTCCCAGGGATCTCATATTCCTCCGCCTCCTAGATTTCCTGCTGCCATATCTATGTGCCCTTCTTTTCATTAGGAGAAAATTTTTCAGTTTGCAGTGTTTCCTTGTCCCTTGGATCTTGCAATGACTCTTTCTCCTTATGCAAAGCATAAATGAACTTGAGACAATGTGATGCAAGGGGAGATTTTACACTTGTTCTCAATCACATGTTCACATGGAAAGAGGAAGGACTGACCCTAAATTGGCAAATTGCAGGACTTGACACTACAGTGTCTCTGCCTCACTTCTAGGCAGTGATTTATCCTTACATTCCCATTGTGTTGATCAGGACTGTTCCTGTCCTTCCCTGCTGACTTGATGGAAGCTACCCTCAGCCAGCCCAATACATGAGAATTTGAAAATGGAGGGATGAGTGAGAAGTTTTTTAACGGTCTGGGAAGAACAGAGGGGGGCAGCAGGAGTGTCACTAATTTTAAATACATCATTTTAAACATGGTGCATGACAGCTGGTAACAGCACCACACGGGTTGGATCAGAGCTTTAATCTGTCTATACAGAGAAGTGCAAAGGAAGGAGAGGATTGTAAAGGTACATTTGTAGAGGTAAGATTCAGTCAGAACATGTGGAGTAAAGAGGAAGAATGTTGAATAATTTCTGTTAGAAAACATAAAGAGGCAATGGAAGTGGGAAGGGAGACATTCAGATGCTGTCTTCATGGCAGCAGTGCTGGTGTCATCTACCTCTGTTACCTGCACAGAGTGAAAACAGGGGAAATCCAGATCTGTGGGGGTCACATTTTTCCTGTCTTCTTTTTCACATATTATTACCAGTGTCTTTCAGCAGCCCAGCCCGTTTAAAATAAACCAAACAAAAATGCTAACCAAAACAAGAGAAAGGAGGAAAGGAGTTGAACTATGCAAGATGATTTTGCTCAGGATATCTCTGTTTCAAAGTGCTTCTACTGAAAAGTTGTACCTCTCCTGAAGGAATTTGTGTCAGCCTGTATGTGCATGTGTGTGCCCTCAAATGAATTGAGGCCATATCAGAGAGAAGGAAGGAATACTGTTTGATAAGATGGTCCCTGGTTATTTGTGCCCTCAAATAAGCCGTCCTCATAAATAAGAAAAAAGCACAAAGACTACTATGCTAGATTGAGCTGAAGTTGATCTTTGAACATGCAACTTCAAAATTGAGAGGAGTGTCTCACCCTTAGCACTTTGTTTTGTCGCTTGTTATCCTTCTTTCAGATGATTCCAAGTGCACCTGGAAGAAATCTGAGACATCTGTGGTATTTTATTTTGAATGCTGCTGATTTTTCACTGATCCACAAAGTGAGAAGTGTTAATATAAATAGAGCAGTGAAAAACCAGTTTATTCTTTTTTATATTGAACACGGTTCAAAACAGATTCAACTGATGATGTATATCACTTATTTTTACTCTTTTGTCTTACTTTACTTTTCAGATTATAAGTTTATTAAATGTCTTCACACCACAGAAATCTCTGGAGGAGTTCCAGGATGTGTAAGTAACAGGGGCAGTAATTAAACTAAAGCTTTAGGGATGTGTGGGGCATTATGGTGTACCTTGATTGCAATAACTCAGCAAAATACAAAGGGTGTAGCTCCTCTAAAAAAGACAGTGTGAGTCTAGTGGGTGGAAAAATATTCGGAATTCCCATATTGAAAGCTCTTTTGATAATTTAAGGTGAAAACCACCAGTTTCATATTTGTTGTTGTGTAATGTTATTTGCTGGGGAACTAGGGGTAGGTGTAGAAGAAAATCAGCATCTCTGTTGGAACCTTGCCCTGCTGGACAACCACTACTGTGCCCAGTATGAGCTCGCTGTGAATGAAATTTTAAGTATTCTCTGTTTTATATTGTTGCTCTCCTTTTATCTTCCTGGTCTTTCCCATATTCTGTATACATTGCATGAAAATATGGTCCTATTCTATAGTTTGATACCGGAGTAACCAATTAATTGTAATGAGAATTCTGTGAAGTCATGCAAGCTGAGGAGGATTTTTGAGGGCATTTTGCATGGGGGTGCATATTTTGCCCTCTCAGACACCTCTGTTTCTCTCAGATTCCTGTGTGTACTGTGGTAGCCATCCTTGCAGTGGTCAAAGGCTGAGCAGTTACATCATCTGGTGCTTGTCAGTCTTTTGGGTTTTGTGCCTTTTTGTGTGGTGCTGCCTGATTGCCCACATAGGGTATAGTCTCTGTCATGGAGAATGCACCAAGAAAGGGCAAATAATCCACCAGTTTTCCTGGTATGCTGAAAGAATGGTGTCTCTGCAGTGAGATACAAACACCACCATGGTGCTGTGGTTAGTGGGCCCAGTCTCCAGCTGTGTTACTCCCAGTAATCAGAAATAAAGTGAGTTTTAAAGCAAGAAAAGGCATTGTTTCTTATTTGAGATGATGCTGTGGTTTGCCTTCAACACACACACACAAAAAAATAACCCTGTGGCTTTGCTTTTCCATTCAGCTACCTGGTAATGGAATTAATGGATGCCAACCTGTGCCAGGTCATTCAGATGGAGCTGGACCATGAGCGAATGTCTTACCTTCTGTACCAAATGCTCTGTGGAATCAAGCATCTTCACTCTGCAGGGATTATTCACAGGGTAAGGGGCCTTTGGCTTAAAACTTAAGGCAGCATATGAAATGATCATGAAGACTTTAAATGCCTCTTGGCTCTCTTGTGTGCTGTGGATCAAAGCTCTGTGTCCCAGTGCAATGGATAAAAGACATAAAAGCCACAGTCAGAGGTCAGGGGATATGGAATTGGCATTTGCCATCATTTACATGTGCTGAACCAAATGAAAAGACTGCTGGGTCTATATGAAATGCATCCTCTCATTTTGCTTTTTTCCACATCAGTGCTGTGCCTGGTAAGGGTGTGGCACCTGGCTGTGGATGTGTGATAGTTGAGAGCAGGGGGGATCAGGTCATGTCACTGTGAGCAGGAGGGAATTCTCAATGGATTGAAAATGGAAAAGTGCTTTCACTAATTTGGGATTTCCACATTAGGAAAAAAAGGTTTCCCTAAAGAAAAGAAAGGCTAGTAAAGTGGGTTACAAAGTGGATGTTCTTCTACAAAGTTCTCCTATCTTGGTATGTCATGTATTTAGCAGGGGGTTATAGATTTGGCTGCCAGATAGTCATCCAGCAAAGGATGAGCTGAATTATTATAAATGAAGCATTAAGGTATCTCTACATGTGCAGTAGGAATGTCTCTATCAGGTTCATAGCATTAAGAGAAAATAATCTAATCAAACAGCACTTGGATACTAATCCTAGTAAATGCAATTAATTTAATGCCAGTAGGCTCCTGATATCCGGGTAAAGCCCAGTATGCTGAGGTAGAACAACTTCCAGAAGAGTTTGCTACAGAAACAATAGCAAGGGTTTGCTGTATATTTACAAGTATTTCTGATAGCAACTGGGTCAGAAGAGGGAAAGAGTATTTGGAGTGTGATCTTAAGTATCTGTTGGTATCATAGCTGTACCTGGCGTTATAAAGGACAGTCACATGGGTTTTTTTCACCATCTTTTGCAGGATTTAAAACCAAGTAACATAGTAGTAAAATCTGACTGCACGTTGAAGATTCTGGATTTTGGACTGGCCAGGACTGCAGGCACTAGCTTCATGATGACCCCCTATGTGGTGACACGTTACTACAGAGCACCTGAGGTCATCCTGGGAATGGGCTACAAGGAGAACGGTAGGGCTGCAGTGCCACTGCACCAGGCCTCCTCAAGGGCAAGCTCTGCTTCTCCACTGTAAGGGAGACCCAAAGGAGGGACAGGAAATGTAGTGGGAAATGATGGGAAATGACACCTGGAGTTAGAGCAGTTCCTCACTTCTGTGAACTGCAGCTGCAGAATGTATTTGGGATGCACTGCTGGTGAATTTATCAGTGTGGGATGGCAGAGTAACAGGGAACTTATTCTTAGTTATGTTTGAAGTTACAACTACAGTCAACTCATTTTGACCAGAGCTTTGTCTTCTGTGGCCGTGAAATAATGTGGGAACCACTGAAGTTGCTGAATGAGTGACGTGTTCTAAATTTGAGTCTGGATCTGTGAATTGTTTGAAGGAACAAGAAGAAGTACAAGCTGAAATAGAAAATCCTAGCCCTTCCAGCATTTCTCTAAATCCAGAGCTAGATCTGAATTTCAGGAATTAATTCCTTCTTCATGATAAATTTAACAAAGTCCCAGGTTTTGCTGACAGGTTTCATCTTGTCAAGATCTAGGTATAAATTTTTCAGTTTGAGTTCGTTTTTTTTAAACAACAAGTAGAATTGCAGAGAAGAGGAAAAAGCTGAAACAAACAAAAAAAAAATAAACAAAACATATAATTTGTATGTAATCTCCCTAGAAGTAAATAGGATATTCCTCTGAATAGTCTGAGAGAGATCTTGGTCCTTGGAAATATTGTGAAAAGCAGGTGGGGGTGCTTGCTATAGAGAAGTGGCTAAGGAAAAACTCAAATTTTGCAGTAGATGAAGGGAAAACTTTTTAAGTTGTTCTCATTTTGTAATAAAACTGAGAATTGCATCTGGGTGCAAGGTAGACCAAGCAGGAAATGAGGGAAAAGCTATGGCTCAGATTTTGTTGTCAAAGTTGTCTGTTTGAGGAGACTTTTTGATGGCAAATACAGCAAATGTGACAAGACCAGGAATTTATTAAAAGTGTCCTACTTAATTTATGTTGAGAAGGTTAGCTAACCTGCAGGAGAACTTTTACTAACAGTCAACTGCATCCTGTAAAGGGCAGTGAAACTGATTTTGGGAGCCAATTCCATGACTTCAGCACTACTAAAAACATAATCACACAAACTCTTCTGAAATTAACAAGTCCCTGTATGAATGATTTGTAATTTTTATGAGTTTCAAGTACAAATTTTAATACAAAAGTCAAAAAAGTAGAGAAAATATTATTATTATTATTATTATTATTATTATTATTATTATTATTATTATTATTATTATTATTATTATTATTATATGCAGGGTCTTAGCATAGAGAATAATATTCGGGAAATAAAGGAATAATATTCCTTAAAGTATTATGTTTGAAATTTTTGCTAAGTGCCATTAGAAATTTGAGCTAGCACTCTTTAGATAGTTCTTTAGTCAATATCCAGAGTTCTTTTATTGTCAAATGAATTCTTTTGTTGTTTTTTTCCCCCTCCAGACATTTAGTAGATGATTAGGATTATTGTTGCTGTTATTGTCCATGAAAGGACAGAGAGAGCATTTGCTTTTCACATGATTAAATCTGCACCAAGAAAAAGTTAGGCACACTTTTGTGACACAGCTGGGAAAGTTCTAATGTTTGCCACATCCAAGGGTCCTGATCAAACGCCCATTGAGGTTAACACAGAGACTTCCTTTGACTTCCCTGGGCAATGAATCTGGCTTAAGATGAATGGCCTTGTCTTACTTGGACAAAGCTGAAATAAAGAGAGGAAGAAAACAAAATGTTTGAAAATGAAGCTCAGCTGTCAGAGGAGCTGCTCTGCTTGGAGGCTCTGACCCAGCTCCCAAGGAAGTCAACAGAAAGGGCTCTTCTTTGCTTCCCTGCTCTGGCCTATGCTGCCACATTACTGAAGCTCCCCACCTTTTTTCCCCTCTGACTATGTACACTGCCTGTATAAGGACTGTTCACTGCTTTCATTTTCTTTCTGCACTTGGTTGGCTAAAGATGCATAATTATCACCAGTTTGCTGCACTTCTATGGAAGGTCCTAAAGCTGTCACTAGGAAGAAAACTCTGCCTCTGCCTCTGGCATGCTTTTGCTGTCCCATGCCCCTGATACCTGTACCCTCCTTTTCCCAAATGGAACATTTCACCTTGATTTCGTTTCACCAAGAAATGAGTTGTTTGTTTGTTTCTTTGGTTTGTTTTGGATTGATTTTGAAGGTTAAGAAAGGAGAAGAAATGAGGAGAAAAATTGATTGTGTAGGTCAAACATAACCAGCAAATGAGGATTTCAGGCTTAGAAACAACATAATCTTTTAAAACATTTCAAAGCAGTTTTTACCTCTTCACATGGAAGATAGGTTTTGTTTGTTTTTTTCTCTTTTTTTTTTTTTCTGTGAATACTGTGTCACTATCTATCCAGCATTTTTTCTTTAAAGACTTAAAGGGCAAAAAAAAACCCTATCCAAGTCAAACAGATAAGGTAACTGTGCATATTTCACCTAAAAGCTGAAGGCAGGATTGGAAATAGGAAATGTTCTTAGTCTTGTTGATATTTGTCCTTTGGAGCTTTTGTTATAGCATTTATTTTGAGTGCTTACACAGTACAAAACAGAGTCCACTCAGGTCATGCTCTGTGATAGGTACCTACAGAGAGGATATAGGTATAGATCCTGAAGGAGGAGTTTTAAATAACCTTTAAGGGTGGTATTTTTCCATATGGCCTTTACTTGTGTGAGCAGTTCCATTTGGAACCTCTTGTCAGCTGCTGCAGAGAGACTCAGTGCTGAAGAACAAAGCCTAAGAGCTCTGCAAGTAGAATTTATTCAGATTATCATTATCTGGTTGTTTTGATTTTTTCCTAAAAAAAAAAGGAGTGATTTTTTTAGCCATAAATTCAGCGTATACCATGGATCTGTGCAGTTGTTACTTATCTTTACTTGCTAGCTCTGGACCTTTACCCAAAATGTTGATTTTAAACTTTTTCCACTGTTGTTACTAACTGCTGTCGAGCTGACTGACACAGCTTTTACTTGTTTAGTTACTTATTTTAGCTTTTGGTGAGACATGAAAAAGAAACCCAACAAAACCACAAAACAAACTGTACTGTGCTGATCAACCTTTTTCCCCTCCTTTAGGAGTGAAATGTTGTAGTTAACTTTGCTTTTTTTTCCCTCCTTCTTCACTTCCCTGTCTCTGCTGTTCTAGTGGATATATGGTCTGTGGGATGCATTATGGGAGAAATGGTTCGCCACAAAATCCTCTTTCCAGGAAGGGACTGTATCCTTGTGCCATTTGCTGCAGCTTCACCTATTATTTGTTCCTCTCCTCCACTCCATCCCTCTTACCATAAAATGACTATACCAGGACTGTAAAGATAGAAGCAGAAAGTTGAATCTCAGAGGTATGGCTAAATGAAAATAGCTCACTACTGATATGCACAAAATTGAAAATGAAAAACAGATGCACAGAATTATTTCAGTCAATTAAATTAGTCTAAATCCTGTAATCATTCCATTTTATATACTATTTATGTCATGTCAATGAGCAATATAGAAAACAAGCGTTATGATGGCAAATTGGACAGCTTTATTTACTATTCTTAAATGGAAAAATAAGAAAAAAAGAAAAAAGTCTTAATTTGGCCCATCTCATTCCTGTAAATCTGTTTTTCTGCTTTTATGTTTTGGAAATATTGACTTCATAACATTTGTGGTGACATCATAATCTTTTGCTTGCTAATGCATCATGGTTTTGGATTCATCTCAATGCTGTATGGGCTCAGTTTTGAGTCAATACAACATTTTTATTTTTATTTAAAACAAAATGAAGAATTTGACTCACCCAGTTTAAGGCAACCGTTTTTCTGCTGTGGTTTCCAAATTGGCCTGAAATCAGATTCTCTTGATTTAAAAATGAACTTCCCTTTACTTGCATGAGGTCTGTGTTGTCAACTAAACTTTATTTCCCTCCTATCTTGTTCTTCTTTGTCTTGAGTGATATTATTTTTACCCCTTCCAAGGTGGTGAAAGCAATGTTAGAAAATGAAAACAAAAGAGGAGGTGTGTACTTAGCCTCCTGTTTATCACAGGCTAAACCTGCCCGTGCTGGCTTGGAAATGTAAGTAAGTGTGTTTTGCCCATCAGAATAAAATGAGGCAACATAACATCTCTTCACTTTTGGAAACAAAAAGGCATCTGATTTTCAGCTAGTTGGCAGAAAGGCACCACGAAAATCTGGCATCAGCAGCCACTGGCAGTTGGTGTGAAGAAAACCCAGCTTTCACAGACATGTAGCCATGGAAGCAATTATTTTTTTGCTGACTTTTGAGTAATTCCTGTCATGTTTGTCAAAGTTGGGTCCTGCCTGCCCTGTTTTCACAGCTCTGTCAACTTCCTCTGAAAGCTGAGCTGTGCTTGGTGGCCCAGTGAAGATGCAGTTCTACTTCACTGACAGGGAGATGGAGGGACAGCAGGCACCTCCTGCTTGCTGAGGGGGTGACAGCAGCACTTTAGTGCTTCCAATCTTATAGGAAGAGGGGCTGGAAAGTTACTGGATGCAAAACAAGGCAGAGAGGTTAAAATGGTGATTTTCCTTATCAGTAGGTGGCTTTGACATGCTTAAAGGTGCTGAGCTGCCCCTGCAGCATGAGGAGCAGGCTGCACACCCACCTTCAGCTGTAACCTCAAAGTGGAGCGCAGCTCCCACCATTCCCAAGATCTGTAATTCAGTGTGATAGCTATGCTGTGTTTCAGTGGTAACACCACCTCAGAAACACCATCATAATGCTACCTCCAAACAATGTACTCTTCTCCTCTTAAAAACAAAAACAACAACAACAACAACAACAACAAAAACAAACAAAAGAAAAAACCCAACAAAAATCAAAGAAAAACTAAACTATCTATAATACACTCGAGGTTCAGCTGTAAATACTGAGGATATTTCCATTTAATCTTGAGGATATTTCCATTTAATCTTTTCTGAGTGAAGTCTGAGATTTTAGTTGATAAGCAGCTGGAATTCATACAAAGAATGGTTTCAGGATAAAAGCATAGAAGCATGGTTAATGGGTTGCTCTCCTTTTTCAACAACAAATTAGGAGATATGTTCTTTTGCCCCCGTCTAGAAAAAATGTTAATGCTATATAATTCAAGCAATGTAGCTTTAAAAAAATCATTCAAACGTGAGAATTACTTTGTTTCTGTCTGGCTGTGGAAAGTCTCTTATGACAGCATTGTATTCAGGGGTAACAGTAAAATAATCTTAAAATTTCTTTTAACATTTCAGCATCAGTTGAAAATAACAACTGAATTTTTGAACAAATGCAGCAAACATTGTGTAAATTGGGGGATAGTCCTACTTTTTAAATCATTGTAAATCCTGTGTCCTGAAATAGAATTTGGGCCAGGTCACAATTTGTACCATGTTTTAAAGGCGGGTTTATTCAGGTGAGCGGGAAGTTAAAAAAAAAAATTAAAGAAGAAAAAAAAGCAATTTGTACATTCATTTCCAAGTCAGTACTCATTTGTTAACCAGTTTGATCCCATGAATGAGTTGTCAGTGTTGGAAGGACTGGTTTGTGTATGGGTCCATATGATTTCCCTCCCCTCCATGGCTGTTGATGAGCAGATGTAGTTTCCCTCCCTCCCAGGTGCAAGAAGAGCTGGAGGAGTATTTGTGCAGCTGCAGGTAAACTTCACAGAAGTACATTACATACTTCCCTTGGGCTACTTAAGGCTTTCCAGCAGAGAGTTTTCTATCTGGAAGAGGCAAGTCTGTGTAGAAATCAAAAGTACCAGTTATTTTTAATCATTCAGAAGACAGTCTACTGTGTGCACTTGTGATCAATATGAGCTTACTCATTTCTAGTCTGAAGTAGGAACATTTGTGTATGGCACAGTATACATCTAAGAAAAAAATCTCAGCTGCTGCCATGTTTTATGGAAAGAAAATATTTTAAAATTTAATCTCACCTAAATCATCCCACTGAGTTACCACTGCACTCAGGTGCTGCTGACTTGAAATTAGATTTTATTTTTAAAGTCTGTGGACATTAAAACGTGGAGGGAATTAATTTCAGAACTCTCATCTACATAAACAAGAAACTCTCTCTTAAGCTGCTATGAGAAAGCTCTGGAATCTGGATAGACTGTAGCTGGTTTTCAGTCAAGAGCAGCCTCCAGTGTCCTGGACAGTACTGGGTAGAAATTGCCTGGCAGGTACCCTTATTCCTTGTTATTCAGCTAGGGCAGACATTTCAAAATACTGTCAGGGAAACCTCCTTGTCAGAAATCAGACCCTCTCGAGGAGAAATCCACCTTTCAATCCATTTCCAGATGGATTTGTAGACCAAAATATTCCTGGCAAGTTCCAGTAAGCTTTTGTAGTCCACTTCTGAGTTTCTTGCTCAGTGTTTCTTTGATGCTTATTCCATTTTCGTTAAATTGGAAAGAATGTGAGCAGCTAAAAAGTGCCTGAATTCTTGGATGCCATTGGAAATGTTAGAAAACCCCAGGGCTTTCCCAAAAGCTGGTTCAGCTCTAGGTAATAACATCTTCAAAATCTCATAAAATTTCAATTTAAGGATTGGAAATGTATTTCTGGTTTCTTATTTGAAGAGAAGGGAAAACTTAAAATGAATGCTTTCAGGTGAGACAGTTTTATTAAGATCTGAGCTGCCAGGTTCCACAGTGATGTCCTACAGGCACACATGACTTAGTGGGGAAAATAAAGTGATCAGAGCGTTTATTTTCAGTACTGAAAAGAAGGAGGCATGCAGAGGATGGTACTATAGCAATTTCACTTGTGAGTCCTTCAGCAGATCAAAGGAAAACAGTGATTTAGCCATAGAAATATATTGTGATAATAGCCAAGTGTCCTAAGTTTGGCTAGGCCTGAATTTCCACCCTAAATATTGAGAACAGAGTTCCTACTGCAAGTAGCTTAAAGTCTTAGACAGTCAAAAGAGAAAATACCATTAAAGCAGGAGGAGAGAAAAATTCCAACTTTCTTCTGTGTAATTATGAACATCCAAAAGGAATTATGAAGAGAAGTCTGCATTAACAGATAGAGTTAATGTTTTCTGTGGCCAGATTTTCAAAAATTCCCTTACCCACCAGCTGTCTTTGAGAGTGGTGGGATTAAGAAATGCTCTGTGACATCTGACAGAAAGTGTTCTATTCCCTTAGAAAAAGAGTTTTCATCAAGAAAGTCTTTTAGGAAAAGACGCTGCCTTTCCACCACTCATAATCAGAATTTATCTTTGCATTTGATCTGCATTGATTAATAGGTGTATTTTAGTGTTTTGAGGGCATTTTTGGGTGTTTCTTAAGCTACAGCATAATAAAAACTTCTGCATTTTTGTTAAGTGCAGTCTGTTGCTTTACTTGTTTCGGGTGGTATTTTCTTAAGGCTTGTTTTATCTTAAAATCAAAACCAGCAACTAGCATCAGGATTATTTAAGATACTGTTAAGAGTGACTGGCCTGGCTTTCCAGGTGGGATCAGCTGGTTCATGTTAGCCTGCTGCTTAAGTGTGTGCTAGCTATGATGGCATTGATAGCTAAATTTGGGTCTTGTTGACCTTGATTATTCTTCCCTGGGTATTTGGTTTTAGACTCAGGATTTGTCTTAAAGTTTGCTCATATGAGATGAGGCCTGTTTCAAAGAGGTCTCAGGGCAGATGTGAGGATGATTTGGCTGTTGCCATTTTTCTCCTTTTTATTAAATTCAGATATGCATACTCCAACAGATTAGAGTGTAATTTGCACTTAGCATGAAAGCCCCATGTTGTCTGTCATCTGAGTGGCTCTTGGACTGGATCCCAGGTGCCACAGTCAAGATGATCCGCTGCTTGTTTCCCATCACTCACCTTAAAGGTTTTCTGCATGTACTGCTGCCTCACATGAATTTCAACCAAGGCAAGTTTTAATTGAGTTTTCTGGCACCTGTGAGAATTGGATGGTCTCAAATGCTTTGGGGTTTTTTCTGTAGCATTAGTCAGCTTATTTCTTGATGGTAGCTGTGCTGAATTGAGCTGAGACAGACTGGAACAGTTGAGCAGAGAATTTAGAACATGTGGACAAAACAGTACTGAAGTGCCTTTTGTCAAGAGCATGCAGTTATTTCGACAGGATCAAAATAAAGAACTGGAACACCTTCAAAATCACAGGAAGCTGAGTCAGGGGAGGTTTAGGTTGGATATCAGAAAAAGGTTTTCACCTGGAGGATGATTGGGCACTGGCACAGGGCAGTGGTCACAGCACCAACCCGACAGAG